ATTTTCAAATATTTCAATTGAAATTCATTTATTTTAAAAATTTCCAATTAAAATTTAATTATTTTCAAAATTTTCTATTTAAAATTAACAAAGATTTAATTATTTTCCAAATTAACAATTCTAAATCAACTAAAATTCAATTATTTTAAAAATTTCAATTTAAAATTAATTAAAATTCAATTATTTTGCAAAATTTTGATTGAAATTCAATTATTTTCTATATTATCAATTCAAAAACAACTAAAATTCAATAATTTTAAAAAATTTCAATTCAAAATCAACTAAAATTGAATTATTTTCCAAATTTTCAAAAAAAATTCTAAAAATTAAATTATTTTCCATATTTCCAATGGTAATAAATTAAAATTGAAATTCAATTTATCGAAATTTTAAATATGTGAAATAATTTTTTTTCCTAAAACATAAATTCTGTAAAATTTAATTATTTTCTGAAAATTAGCAAATTCTTTCGAAATTCAATTATTTTTAATAAATCTTGATAATTTTCTTATATAGAATTCTTATCATTACTGAATTAATAAAATGAATTTAATATTTAATAACATTAGTTATTTAAAGTAAAATATTCATTAACCAATTAAATTTTGTTAAAATGGAAAAAATCGACTTTTTCGACTTTTTTTCGAATATAAATCGAATAAAACGACTTTTCTTGTGCCTTAAAGTCGATCCGAGGTCTGCAATCACAATTTTATGGATAATTTTTGGATTAGTTGATTTTAAAAATCGCGCCGAAATTTTTCTGTCGATTGTTTATTCAGCCATTTGTAATTTTGGATAAATAAAAATTCGGCGTCTTAAAAATTCGTACAATTAAAATTCAGTGAATTGGAATTTTCTCTCATTTAAAAATACGAATAACATAAAATTCGATGGAATGTGAATTTTTTTTAAAATTCGATTAAATGAAAATTTTCTTAAATAGAAAGTCATGTAAATGAAATGTCTATAAAATAAAAAAAAATTATCCAAACAAAAATTCAGTAGCTAAAAACTTTGTTAAGTAAAAATTCGTATAAAAAGGAAAATCAAATTTTAATTTGAAAATTCAAAAATTCGGCTAAAAAATAATTAGGATTACTTATAAAATTCTTTAAAATTCTAATTAATAATTTTTATGGAATAATCATGAGTTCAAAAAATTCTGTAATATATAGAAAATCGGTTTAATGAAATTTTTCAAAAAATACTAATTAGAAAAAATAAAAATTCGGTTTAATGAAAATTTTATCTAATGAAATTCTATAAAATGAAAATTCTAAAAATTGATTTTTAAAGCTTTGTGCGTCTCCTTGAAATTTCGCTCTATTTTGATAATAAATTTAATAATTTTATTTATTTTTAAATAAATTTTATAGTTAAGAAAATTTTCGCGTTAAATTTTTTTTTTTTTTTAATATGAAAATAAGTACATAAAGTTGCATTGATTTTTTGGCAATGATTGCGCACGATGCATACATAAACTGGTTGAGAATACTTACATCGTTTACGATAAAGGCCAAATAATAGCTTTAAAGATCGATATATTGACACACACAAGTAGTAAGTAGTCTATTAGGAATCGGGAAAAACGATGGAATCTTTATTGATTGTGTCGTGAACTGAAATCATCTCTGAGCCCTGAGTGGACGACGAATAGTTAAACATTGCCTGTGTGTCCATCAAGTTCTCTTCATGGAGATTCTCGTTGCAAAATATGCCTTTGCATCTCTGAAAAGGTTTCAGTGAGAGAGAGAGAGAGAGAGAGAAAAAAAGACTCCAAAAAAAACCCTTTTCATCATATTCTCTCTCTTTTTTTTTTTTCTTTTTATATGGGAAAAATCTTTGTACGAACGCGAATTTTATATACAAAAATTTACGTGTCTTTTATTTATAAAAACATGAAATTAAATTATTATTTAAAAATTTTGAAAAAAAAATTAGAAAACAAATTGTGAGTTGTGTGTGCTAAAGCAATTATTATTATTATTATCAGCCTTTTAAATTTGATACTATTTTTTTTTTTCGTTTCTTAGTTAGGAATTCATGCAAAAAAAAAAAAAAAAATATTCTCCCACTACATGGATATATAAATAATAATGGAATCTATTGTTCTAAATATTGTTAAACAAATTTAGGTGTACTATGATACAAACATTCTCGACTTCTGATATATATGTACATTTTTCAATTATTTTTTAACCCTTTCACAGAAACATGGGAGAAAATCTCAGAAATTATTTTTTTTATAGTTAGCAAAAAGGATTTTTTCGATTTTTTAATAAATAAAATATTTTCAGTAAAATTTACTTTTATATTTATAAAATATAAAAATCGAAAGAAATATTTTTTTTTTAATAAAAAAAATAAAAGAAAATTATTTTCAAAATGTGTAAATTTTTCTTATTTATATTTTTGAATACAAAATTCAAATTAATTTTTTCTCGAACTAGAAGAAAAGTTATATTCTTGAAACTAATATATTTATAAGTAACCTTGCGGTAAATTTAAACAAAGATAATATTTTTGCAACTTGTCGTAAATATTAAAAAAAAACTACTGTTTTAAATAATATATACAGTAAAAATAAATTATCAAAATTATTCCTAGTCACGAAACTCCTTTTTTTTTATTTTATTTAAATTTTTCGTTTAATTTTTTAGTTTCTGATACTTTTTGAGACGCATGATTATGTTCTAAAAATTATTAGTTAGAATTTTCATTTTATGGAATTTCATTTGTCATAATTAGTTTTATGACGAATTTTTATTTGTTCCAATTGTTTATAATTTCAAACAAAAATTAGCAAATAAAATTTACTACAAAATTTTTAATTCAAAATTACTTGAAATTTAATTATTCAAAAATTCAATTATCTGAAAGCAATTTTTTAAATAAAAACTTTTAAAATTCAATTATTTCTAAAAGTTTCAATTTAAAATCAACTAAAATTCAATTATTTTGAAAAATTTAATCTATAAAATTAACTAAAATTCAATTATTTTCCAAATTTTAAATTCAAAATCAACTAAAATTCAATTATTTTCTAAATTATCAATTCAAAATAAATTAAAATTCAATTATTTTAAAAATTTCTATTCAAAATTAATTAAAATTCAATTATTTTCAAAATTTTAACTTCCAAATTTATTAAAATTCAATTATTTTCAAAATTTAAAATTCTGAAATAATTAAAATTCAATTATTTTAAAAAATTTTAATTCAAAATCAACTAAAATTTAATTATTTTGTAAAATTTCGATTGAAATTCATTTATTTTCTATATTATCAACTCAAAATCAACTAAAATTCAATTATTTTCAAAATTTTATCTTTAAAATTAACTAAAATTCAATTATTTTCCAAATTTTTAATTCAAAATCAACTGAAATTTAATTATTTTGCAAAATTTCGATTGAAATTCAATTACGTTCTATATTATCAATTCAAAATCAACCAAAATTCAATTATTTTAAAAAATTTCAATTCAAAATCAATTAAAATTAAATTATTTTCAAAAATTTTTAATTCCAAATTTATTAAAATTCAATTATTTTCAAAATTTTAAATACTGTATTAATTAAAATTCAATTATTTTCAAAAATTTTAATTCAAAATCAACTAAAATTCAATTATTTTGAAAAATTTCGATTGAAATTCAATTACGTTCTATATTATCAATTCAAAATCAACAAAAATTCAATTATTTTAAGAATTTTCAATTCAAAATCAATTAAAATTTAATTATTTTCAAAAATTTCAATTCTAAATCAACTAAAATTCAATTATTTTCAAAATTTTCAATCCAAAATCAACTAAAATTCAATTATTTTCCAAACTTTTAATTGAAATTCAATTATTTTCCAAATTTTCAAAAGAAATTCTAAAAATTAAATTATTTTCCAAATTTCCAATGTAAATAAATTAAAATTGAAATTCAATTTATCGAAAATTTAAATATGTTAAATCATTTTTTTCCTAAAACATAAATTATTTTCATTTCTGTAAAATTTAATTATTTTCTGAAAATTAACAAAATCTTTTGAAATTCAATTATTTTTAATAATTTTTGATAATTTTCTTATATAGAATTCTTATCATTACTGAATTAATAAAATGAATTTAATATTTAATAACATTAGTTATTTAAAGTAAAATATTCATTAACCAATTAAATTTTGTTAAAATGGAAAAAATCGACTTTTTTTGACTTTTTTCGAATATAAATCGAATAAAACGAATTTTCTTGTGCCTTAAAGTCTATCCGAGGCCTGCAATCACAATTTTATGGATAATTTTTCATTGGTTGATTTTAAAAATCGCGCCCAAATTTTTCTGTCAATTGTTTGTTCGGTCAGTTGCAATTTCGGGCCGAAATGAAAATTCTATCAGTTAGAAATTCTGTTAAATGATTTTTTCGGTTAAGTAAAATTTCAGTAGTATGAAAAATCGGTTATATGGAAATTATATCAAATAATAATTCTAACAAATGAAAATTCATTCGAAAGAATAGAATGAAAATTCTATGCAATAAAATTCTATCCAATAAAAATTCTTTAAAATTCCTATTATGTTAAATGAAAATTCGAGCAAATAAAAATTCTGACAAATAAAAATTCGAACAAATAAAAATTCTGTAAAATGAATTTTCGGTTATATAAAAATTCTGTAATATAGAAAATCGGTTTGATGAAAATTCCTCAGAATACTAATTCGAAAAAATAAAAATTCAGCTCAAAAATAATTATGACAAATGAAATTCCATAAAATGAAAATTCTCACAATTTTTAGAACATAATCATGCGTTTTTTTTTCTACTCAGCAAAAAAAAAGGGTTAAAAAATAGTTAAAATTTTAATAATTAATTAAACTAAAATTAAAATAAACTTACTGCTATATAATATTATGTACATAATATAACAAAGGCAGTAAATTGCCTTCTATATTTGCAATTTCATTAAATATTATTAATTAATTATTGTATATTTTTCGAAAATTACCTTCACTGCACGAAGAGTGACATTGAGAAGTGTGGGACGCTCTTTAACTACCACAAAATCGACCTCAATGGGAGCGTATCCATTGGCATAAACCTTAAAAGAATTTTAATTATCAAAATTTATAGAAAATAATTATTTCTCGCTTACTTTCTTTATTTGCAATGCTTTCACTATTTAGTTCAATATTTAATGAATTGAAAGAGAGAGAGAGAGAGAGAAAAAATCTCAAATTATTCAAATTAATATACTTGTATAATTAAAATTAATGACCGTATAGTAATCGCGCTGGCAAAATATATATATATATATATATATATATATATATATAAGTTGTGATATTAAACTTAACGCGCTCTACTTACTTCCATTTTATAGTTTCCAGGTAATAGAATTCTCCAGAATTCGCCATATTTTGTGGTGAGAAAACTGATGTTGCGATTCTTGATTTTGACTGACGCTTTTTCAATATAATTTCCATTTTCGTCAATTACAAAACCTTGAACCCCTCTATGAGCTTCGGCCAAAAATGCCAGAAGGGACTGAAAAAAAAAAAATTATTCGATTTTATTTATCGTTGAGTCTTTTTTTCAAATAAATTCAAGTAAAATAATCGGCTCAAGAATTTACAGAGTTGAGAAAAAAATTTTGATTTTGATTTTCCCTTATTTTCAGAAAAAAATTAAAATTTTTTTTTCCCGACTTTAATAAAAATATTTCACGAGGTCTTCAATAACAAGCCTCGGCTTGTACGATTTTTTCCAACTTTTTTTTATTCTTTAAAATTGAATTATTAAAAAAAATATTTTAAATATTTTTTATTATTATTATAATAATATTATTATTATTATTATTATTTTATTTTTAAATATTTTAACTCGAACTATTCTGAAATAGAATTATTTCTAAATTTTCTATCTAAAAATTGAAATTGTTGAATAATTTAATTTTAATCAAAAGTTTCGAAAATTCAATTATTTAAAACATTTTCTAATTCAAAATTATTCAACGTTTAATTATTGTTTAAAGCTTATAAAATATCTACAGAAATTCTAATTTATGAAAATTTTAATTAAAATTCTCCTGAAATTCAATTAGTTCCAAAAATTTTTACTATTTCTCTTTCTATACTAAATTATTTATAAAATTTTTAATTTCAATTTCTTTTTCAATTAATTATTTCTAATAACTTTAATCAAGTTTTTCAAAAATTCAATTACATAAAACAATTTTTAATTATTAATTCTATAAAATTAAATTTTCATTTATATAATTTTGAAAAAAATTCAATAATTAAAGTTTATTAAAATTTTAATTGAAAATTCAATTTTTTAAAATATTTTTCAATTGAAAATTCTCTAAAATTTTCTATAGGGTCAGTCGGGGTAAATCCGAACGGGGGGTAAATCCGAACGCTAATTATTTCAGCTTAATTAAAATTTTTAAAAATAAGTTCGATATGAGAATTTTTACCTCAGATCCTCTTCAAGAGATTCTAAGTATTATCCCATTTTTCGTTTGTTAATTAGCAACAGCATAAACAAAGATAACGAGTATTGCAAAAAAGATTGAAAATCAAAGATGACACTCTTTCAGTATTTTGTCTCGTATTTCAAGAAAAAGAAGCTAAAAATTCATTTTATTATTTATAATTGTTTGTTATGAATACTAGAACAGAAACTATATTTGATTTTTGCCTTCTGTAAAATTTTATTAATAATATCAGACCGTTCGTATTTACCCAAGAAAATTGGAAAACTGGGGTAAATCCGAACGGTATTTTTAATAATTTTTTTTTACATCAAAGCCACACAAAATTGTTTTTATTTGATTACACTATTATTTTAACATTATAAAAGTACATAGAAAAAAGTTTTTCTTTCTATACGTATCCTCGTTAGTAATTAATAAGCAGAAACTTAATCTCTGTTCTCTCGAAGGAGTGTTTCAATTTTTTTGCCAAATGGTTTGTTGAAAAAAGTTTTTCAGGATCTTAATAAAATTTGGTATTCTACGGTTTTTGGGGTCGCTAATTACCAATTTGAAGTCAGTTTTTCAAAATTCAAAATGGCGGACGAGAATTAAAAAATTCATTGGATTCGCTCGAAAATTGTTACTCGGAGGGTTTCAGGGTTAGCAAATTTAATCATTTTTAAAAATAAGTTTTAGGAAAGTACGCCATTTTGAATTTAAAAAATTTGACTTTTATTTTTGTATTTACATTCAATCACTCCAAAATACTTTCTGTACCAAGTTTTGCAAAAATCCGTTATGATTTGATAAAGTTATTGAAGGTTTTAATTGTGCAATGCATTTTAATTTTTAACCTGTTTGATTTTTGTATTTATATATGATGCATTATTACATAATAGGTTTATTATCGTATTTTTTTTGAGTTTTTATATAAGTTTAACAATTGCAATACTTTAAATTTATTTTCCCTAAGATTTTTCTGAAATACAGTGGCGTTCGTATTTACCCCGGTATTTTAGGAAAGTTGCAAAGTATCGAGGTAAATACGAACGCTAAGTTTCCTGCGATTGTAATTTATCAAAAAATTTTTCTACCCCATAAAATTGTTCTATGGAAGTAAAGTAACAACTTCATGCACCAGAATACCGGAAGTATTTTTTTTTAAAGAAAAAACTTATGTTATTGTTGAAACTTACTAAAAGCGTTCGGATTTACCCCAGTTGACCCTAATTCAATTATTTCTAAAAATTTTATCTAAAATTCTTCGCTAAATTAATTTTTTTTTTAATTAGTTTAATACGGTCTTTCAACAATTCAGGGAAATAAAAAGTTTTTTCATTAAAAATAATCTAAAATTCTATTATTCTTTAAAATTTGTGAAAAAAATTTCAAATTTATAAAACTTTCAATTAAAAATCTTTTCGAATTCAATTATTTCTAAAATTTTTAAATCAATCTCTTTAAAATTCAATTATTTTAAAAATTTTAATTAAAAATCTTCTAAAATTCAATTATTTCAGAAATTTTAATTAAAAAATTTTTTTTGGGTTTTTCAATACTTTTTCAATTAATTAAATAAATAAGTAAATCAATATTTTAATGAAATTCTTCGAAAATTTAATTATTTAAAACATTTTCCGAAATTCAGAATTCGAACAATGTGCATAAATTAGACTTGAAAAATTTTCGTTTTTTTTTTAAAGTAACTTTAAATTATTTTTGAAAATTTGTTCTGAAAGTGAATTGAAAACTTGAAAATTTGTCTCATTGATCTCATTGATTATTTATTGAAAATATTTCTATGAAACATTTTTATTAAGGAATTAATAAATTTTATTTAATTTCTAGTAACAAATTTATAATAACAAAATATTTATCAACGAATTAATTTTGAAAATAAAAAACCGGATTTTTTAAACTTTTCTTGTAATGTAAATCAACTAAAATGACTTTTTTTTTTCTTTTAAAAGTCGATACGAGGCTTACAATTATAAAAATGAAAGACACAATAATTTCTAGAAGCAAAAGTTTGAATTGAAAATTTCAAAAATTATAATTTTAGCAGCATTTTTAGAAATTTGATATTTTTCCAGTACTTTTCATAAAATTTCCTAACTTTTTCATGAAAATTTTGAAAATAATTGAAATTTAGTTGATTTTGAATTGAAAATTTTGAAAATAACTGAATTTTCTTTGATTTTGAATTGAAAATTTTGAAAATAATTGAATTTTAGTTAATTTTGAATTGAAATTTTTGAAAATAATTGAAATTTAGTTGATTTTGAATTGAAAATTTTGAAAATAACTGAATTTTCTTTGATTTTGAATTGAAAATTTTAAAAATAATTGAAATTTAGTTGATTTTGAATTGAAAATTTTGAAAATAACTGAATTTTCTTTGATTTTGAATTGAAAATTTTGAAAATAATTGAATTTAATTAATTTTGAATTGAAATTTTTGAAAATAATTGAAATTTAGTTGATTTTGAATTGAAAAATTTGAAAATAACTGAATTTTCTTTGATTTTGAATTGAAAATTTTGAAAATAATTGAATTTAATTAATTTTGAATTGAAATTTTTGAAAATAATTGAAATTTAGTTGATTTTGAATTGAAAAATTTGAAAATAACTGAATTTTCTTTGATTTTGAATTGAAAATTTTGAAAATAATTGAATTTAATTAATTTTGAATTGAAATTTTTGAAAATAATTGAAATTTAGTTGAATTGAAAAATTTGAAAATAATTGAATTTTAGTTAATTTTGAATTGAAATTTTTAAAAATAATTGAAATTTAGTTGATTTTAAATTGAAAATTTTGAAAATAATTGAATTTTATTTGATTTTGAATTAATTTGTGATTTTGAATTAAAAATTTTTGGTAATTTTATTTGATTTTTATTTTTAATTTTAAACAATTGTTAAATTTCATAAAATTTTTTAATTGAAAAATAATTTGAAATAATTGAATTTGTGACGAATTTCATTAAAATTATTAAAAATAATTAATTTAGTGAAGAATTTTAGTTAAAAATTTGTTAATTAATTGAAATAAAGAAGATCTGAAGAAGATCTGCATTTTATACTAAAAAAAACGTATTTTAATTAAAAAAAATTTTTTTAAATGTAAAAAAAAGTCGCATTATATTAAAATAACTCGAAAAAAGTCGTATTTTTGAAAAAAAGTCGGAAATAGTCGAAAAAGTCGAAAAAACCAGTAGTCCAACTGTAATAAATCGTCAAAGAAATAACTTGACTAAGGCAAGAAGGAAAATATTTTATATAAAAGCAGAAAACTGAAAATTATGTATATCCCTCAAGAGACACACGTGTGTAATAAAGAAAATGAGATAAAGTACATAAGATTTAAATAAAGTTTCAAGCTTGAAATGAGGAAATGTGACGACACATATATATATATATTTAATGCTTACTGCACGATTTTCGTCCCAGTAGTGAGGAAGGTCCTTGGCTGGTGGATATTTGCAGCAAGATATTTCGAGTGTTATCTCCATGCAACCGTTCCAAACGTAATTGAAGTCCTGCATCCCTCCCGTGAGACTGTACCACTCGGCACCATTTGTAATGCCATTCTTGAATCCGGATTGAGTCGGAGAACAAGCCTTGCCCTTGTACATGGTACCGTGATTTTTCGAGTAAGTCCACGATAAGTGACGGAAAACATCATCGTCCGGAGAAATACTTGGCGTCGAAGCATAATTCATCTGCAATACTAATTTTCAAATTTTTCTTAATTTTTTTTCTTCTTTTCATAAATTTCACATAAAAAAAAATCATTAATTAGAATTTTTATTTTAAAAAGTATTTTATTAGAAATAATTCGTTTTTAGACGAATTTTCCTTTTTTTTTTTAAATAGAATTTGAGAGCGAATTTTTTTTTTATACGAATTTTTATTTAACAAAAAATTTTTGGCTACCGAAATTTTGTTTTCCTGATTTTGTATTTTACAAGCAATTTTTGGTACATGATTTTTTTTTTAAAAGAATTTTAATTTACACGAATTTGAATTTAACAAAATTCTCATTCAATCGAATTTTATGTAATTCGAATTTAAATTAAATGACAGAAGTACAAATTCACCAAATTTTAGTTTGTCCGAATTTTTAAATTGTACGAATTTTTATTTAGCCGATATTATAAATGGCCGAACAATGAATCGACAGAAAGATTTCGGTGCAATTTTCAAAAATTGACCAATCACGATTTTCTTGATAATTTCTAATTGGTCAATTTTTGAAAATTGCACCGTAATCTTTATATCGATTCTTTTGTTCGGCCATTTATAATTTCGGACAAATGAAAATTCGGCGTCTTAAATATTCGTCAGAATAAAAATTCAGACAAATTAAAATTCGGTGAATTGTAATTTCTGTCATTTAAAAATTTGAATCACATAAAATTTTGAATTGTATGAGAATTCTGTTAAATAAAAATTTGTGTAAATTAAAATTGTCTTAAATAAAAAGTCATGTAAATTAAATGACAATAAAAAAAAAAATGTTATTCATGTAAATTAAAACAATTAAATTTTTATTAAGGGTCATTCCATTATATTTCACCTAAAGTCGTTGCGGCCTAATTTTTAAAGAAGTTGATACTTTCAGAAATGATTTTTTATGATATTTAGGAAACGAAATAAAAAGAATTAAGTTAAAATTTTTATTATTTATCTCAAAATATGTATTTAAAGTGGACAAGGTGCGGAAAAATGTCACCTTTTTAGCATTTAGAAACTTTTTTTAAAAACATAGAAAAATTGTTAAAAGTGTAAAAAAAATTATTTTTTCTTGTTTAGAATCGATTAATTATCTATTTTTTAATGATTAAAGTAGTAAATAAATTAAAATAATATATAAAATAAGTTTTCAAAGTTGGTCTGTCAAATAACCTAATTTTGGGATTTTTATTAATTAATTACTAAAAAGTGGAGTTATTAAATAAAATAAAAACTTACCGAATGTAAAGTATTTGTGGTGAACTTTCAAATTTTCTTAGCACTTTGTACTTTTTAAATTTATAAATGTAAAAAATCTTGAGTCGAAAATTTGCACTTTGTTGACTTTTCCGATTTTTAATCGCTTGTAACTCTTTTGGTGCAAAATAAAAACTTTTGAAACCTTGTGGAATATTTAATTTAAATCTAAATAAAAACTCACTTAAATTTTTGTGATGGATTTTGATCGAGATAAGGAGAATATTTAATTCCAAAATTGTACGTATATTTCCAGGTTAATGTATGTAATTTTTTTAAACTTGAAGTTGGGCCACTACTTCAAAGACGAAAAATTACATACATTAACCTGGAAATATACGTACAATTTTTGGAATTAAATTTTCTTCTAATCTCGATCAAAATCCATCACTAAAATTACAGTGAGTTTTTATTTAGATATAACTTAAATATTCCGCCAGGTTTCAAAAGTTTTTATTTTGCACCAAAAGAGTTACAAGCGATTAAAAATCGGAAAAATCAACAAAGTGCCAATTTTCGACTCAAGATTTTTTACATTTATAAATGGAAAAAGTAAAAAGTGCTAAGAAAATTTGATAGTTCACCGCAAATACTTTACATTCAGTGAGTTTTTATTTTATTTAATAATTCCACTTTTTAATAATTAATTAATAAAAATCCCAAAATTAGGTTATTTGACAGACCAACTTTGAAAACTTATTTTATATATTATTTTAATTTATTTACTACTTTAATCATTAAAAAATAGATAATTAATCGATTCTAAACAAGAAAAAATCATTTTTTTACACTTTTAACAATTTTTCTATGTTTTTAAAAAAAGTTTCTAAATGCTAAAAAGGTGACATTTTTCCGCACCTTGTCCACTTTAAATACATATTTTGAGATAAATAATAAAAATTTAAACTTAATTCTTTTTATTTCGTTTCCTAAATATTATAAAGAATCATTTCTGAAAGTACCAAGTTTTTTAAAAATTAGGCCGCAACGACTTTAGGTGAAATATAATGGAATGACCCTTAAAAATTCTATATATTTTTTTGATGCGCATTAAAATTTTTAAATGATGAATTTAACGCTAAGTAAAATTATACTTATATCGTAATTTTATAAAGCTAAAAATAAAATCATTACGTATCTGGTATAAATTGATAATTTTTGCATATCATTTTTGCTATGAAACTGTGTTTTAATGACTTCTTTTATAACGTGTGGAACTAAAAGTATTTTTTTTCTCGAATTGCAACGTATGAAAAATTATTAAAATTCATTTTTGTTAGAATTTTCTTCAAATAGAATTTTATGAAACCGAATTTTTATTTCTTCGAATTAGCATTGGAAGTAATTTCTCTTTTAGGCGAATTTTTACCTAATAGAATTTTCAAGTTATTAATTTTTTAATTAATAAAATTTTAATTTTAACAAAATTTTTCATTACTTAAATTTTTATTTTCCAAAGAATTGTATAATTCAACCGAATTTTTATTTCATTTTTTTTTATTTGCCTAAAATTTAGTATACAATTTTTATTCAATGTGAATTTTAAATAAGTCAAATTTTTGAATGCCAGAAGTTTTATTTCAGTAAATTTTTAATGGTCAGAATTTTTATTTAAACTATTTTGTTATTTAATAGAAATCTTAAAATTCCAATTTTCGAATTGACCGAAATTGCAAATGACCGAAATATTCTTAAATTAAATATTTTACAATTTTTGAAAATTTTGAATTATTTATTTCAAACAAAAAAAATTTTTAATTTAAAAAGAACAAAACGTCAAACAATGTTGGAATATTTAAATTTCTTGTAATCGAAATATTTAACTATCAAAATGATTTTGGCGCGATTTTAAAAAATTGACTAAAATCAGAAATTAATAATTATTAGGAAATTATGATTAGTCAATTTTAAAATTCGCGCCTAAAATTTTTTGTCGTTTGCTTTTTTCGGTCATTTGCAATTTCGGTCAAATGAAAAATTTGGGGTTTAAAAATTCTATTAAATAGCTAAATTAAATTATTAGTAATTAAATTAATACAATTATAAACAATTTGAAAAATAATAATAATAATAGTAATAATAATTTGAATAAATCAAAAAAATTAAAAAATAATTGTAAATAAAAATTCGGCGTCCTAAAAATTGGTACAAATAAAAATTCGGCCAAATAAAAATTCCGGCATTTAAAAATTCGACTCACTTCAAAATTCATGTTAAATAATAATTATGCTAAATTAAAATTCGGTTAATTTTCGAATTCTTTTAAAATAAAATTTTGATAATTCGAGATATTTTGTAAAATAAAAATTTTATTAAATAAAAATTCAATGAGCTGAAAATACTGTTTAAAATTCGCATAAAAATAAATTTTCTTAGATATGCCTAATTCGGAAAAAAAATTTAAAAATCGTCCAAAGAAAAATTCTATTTAATAAAATTGCATTTATATCACTATACCTGCACATAATGGCGCTGATTGACATATTCCTAAAGAATGCATGAAAAATTAACAGCATTATTAATATTAAAAAAAAAATTGTTTTTTTTTTTTAAATAATTTTCGAAAATACGATAAAATTAATATAGCTGTAAATATTATATGAAAAAAAAAAAAAATTTTTTCCAACCTAAACATACTTTCATATTATAATAATTGTAATAGATTTATCACTGAAAGTGGTCGGATGTTCATCTTTTTTTTTTTTTTTTTGTACACATCCTGTCATGTGACAATGCTAAACTTGAATTGTCCTATTGTTTTGACCGTGGCACCATAAATATATAGCTTCTTATTACGTTGCACTTTCTAATTACGGTTATTTCTTCCGTTTGGGTAGACATCTTCCGGTTTCTTATGTACGAAATAAATAAATTTTTTAAGGAGACAAATTTATAAAAATTTTTGAAAAAAAAACAAAATAATTTTTGGGTTAGTCTTCTACTCCAGTTGTATACTTCTACGTATGAGCCGCAGTTATGTGTTATATACTGTTTTAGAGGGTTAAAAGAGTAAAAATTATTTTTTTTACAAATTTAAATTTCCATATTTATCATATAATATTCCCTTTAAAATCAGAAATATTTCTATGTATATTATTTTATTTTTATATGAATGTATTAATAATAATTTTAAGCTTTTAGACAAAAATCAATTTTCATTAGCCACGAAATAGTGTACTTAACTTTCAATTTTCCAATATTGTTGCTTAAGTAACTTTCATCTTTTAATGGGAGCGACCTTTACACGAAACAGGACAAAAAAAAGATAACAAGACCGATAAGAAAAAAATGAAATGCACTCTTTTTTTTTGGAAAAAAAAATTTTTCTCATAAATATCTATTATAGTGCAATTTTTCGAGGACTAAAAATTGTCTAAGTGTGTAAATTCTAAGTATTCTGTAAATTTTTTTTGATGCCAAACAATAAAAAATTGTTCCTTTATTGCAAAAATTAATAATGAAATTAAATTTTTATAATTCAAAATGGCGGATCCAAAATGGCGGACATATTTTTAAAAATTCAACGAATTCGCTTGAAACTTGTTACTCGTCCCCAAAAACCCCCGAGTAACAAGTTTCAAGCGAATTCATTGAATTTTAAAAAATATTTCCGCCATTTTGGACCCGCCATTTTGAATTTTCAAAATATGACTTCAGATTCGTAATAAGCGACCCCAAAAACTCCCGAGAAACAAGTTTCAAGCGAATTCATTAAATTTTTAAAAATATGTCCGCCATTTTGGATAGGCCATTTTGAATTTTCAAAATCTGACTTCAGATTCGTAATCAGCGACCCCCAAAAACTCCCGAGTAACAAGTTTCAAGCGAATTCATTGAATTTTTAAAAATATGTCCGCCATTTTGGATCCGCCATTTTGAATTTTCAAAATCTGACTTTAGATTCGTAATCAGCGACCCCAAAAACCCCCGAGTAACAAGTTTCAAGCAAATTTATTGAATTTTTAAAAATATGTCCGCCATCCTGGATCCGCCATTTTGAATTTTCAAAATCTGACTTCAGATTCGTAATCTTCCACCCCAAAAATCCAAAATCCAAAATGGCGGACATATTTCTAAAAATTCAATGAATTCGCTTGAAATTGTTACTCGGGGGTTTTTGGGGTCGCTGATTACGAATATGAAGTCAGATTTTGAAAATTCAAAATGGCGGATCCAGAATGGCGGACATATTTTTGAAAATTCAATAAATTCGTTTGAAACTTGTTACTCGGGGGTTTTTGGGGTCGCTGATTACGAATATGAAGTCAGATTTTGAAAATTCAAAATGGCGGATCCAGAATGACGGATATATTTTTGAAAATTCAATGAATTTGCTTGAAACTTGTTACTCGGGGGTTTTTGGGGTCGCTGATTACAAATCTGAAATCAGATTTTGAAAATTCAAAATGGCGGATCCAAAATGGCGAACATTTTTTTAAAAAATTAAATGAATTCGCTTGAAACTTGTTACTCGGGGGTTTTTGGGGTCGCTGATTACGAATCTGAAGTCAGATTTTTAAGAAACTTAGGCATAAGACTCAGGCATATTGCACAATTCTAAAAATGTTTCGTATATTGATTTTTAATGTTAGTACTTCCTTTGTACATAAAAAAAATTAATTAAAATTCTTTAAGCGTATTTTAATATTGTTTTCACTAAGTTTGAGATAATGCAATATTTTTTTCACGCTCGCTTGTATAATAAAATATTGTTTAAGTGTCATTACTTAATAAATTAAAAAAAATTAAATAAATAAATTAGTAAAGAGAAAAATTTCAATTGGAAAAAAGTGACTTACGCGAATTTGGAGTGTTGTCAAATGGATAACTTGCAACAAGAGCACCGCCATGAAGACTTCCTGAGAGTACAAACTGAATTTTTGAAACCCATTCTTTTACTGCATCCGTCTCAGGTTGACTTATTTTATTGTTTTGCTTGAAGTAATCGGGAAAATTACGATTTAAATCAAAACCTCTTGCGTTATATCTGAAAATATAGATTATAGAAATTTACGTAAAAAAAAAGTAATTCTAATAATTAAATTATCATTATTATTATTTCAGTCAATTAAATTAGTATTTATTTGAATATAATTTTTTTAAGTTAAAAGAATTTTAATTTATTTCAATTTTTAAATGACAGAAATTTCAATTCACCGAATTTTTTTTTTGTACGAATTTTTAATTGATGGAATTTTTAAGACGCTGAATTTTCATTTGTCCGAAATTACAAATGGCCGAATGAAAAAGCGACAGAAAGATTTCGGCGCAATTTTTGAAAAATTGTCCAATTAGAAATTAGCAAGAAAATTCGTGATTGGTGAATTTTTGAAAATTGCGCCTAAATCTTTCTGTCCATTGTTCGTTCGGCCATTTGTAATTTCGGACAAATGAAAATTCGGCCTCTTAAAAATTCTAATAATTAAAAATTAACTGAATTAAAAATTCAGACACATTTCATAATAATTGGAGCAATAATGCATTTTAGTTTTGAATAAAAAAATGACAAGAGTATTAATTAATTAAAAATTTTTTTGATAGTACAAATTTGAAAAAAGTAGAAATTAATTTTAAAAAAATAATAATTAAAATAATTACAAATTATTATTTATATGTACTAACCTCCCTTGCGAACCATCACAATAGCCTTCTTTTGAAACTTCAAAACCATCTGGATTCATGGACGGTAATATGTGAATTCTAGTGTTGTTTAACAACCAGGTGATGAATGGATCAACATTATAGTTTGTAACAAGTAACTGTAAAAATAATTTTAATTTTCTATTTTATCATTGTAGGATTATTAGTGGAAAAATAATTTAACCCTTAACTGACACAATTTGAACGTAAATGGCACAACGGGTCTGCTGGACCCGACGTATTTAAACGTGTATTGAAACAGCTGGTATTGAATATTTCTGCACAAAAATTTAATCTGAGGTAGCTTATCATGTGTTTTTTTTAAATTTCATTAGTTTTACCAGGGATTAATTTATTTTAAGTCAGTAAAAAAAAATTGTGAAAAATAAAAATCAAAAAAATTCCCTAATAACAGAAGATATCTTGGGATATATTGATAATATCCCGCAGATATCCTAGGGATGTCCTATGGATATCAAAAGGATCTCTTAAGGTTATCCAAAAAATCGGCGGTTTGGATATCCTTTGGATATCCCATGGATATCTGAGGATATCCACAGGATATCTTCTGGATATCTCTATAGACTTTCATAAATGTCCTCCAGATATCCCATAGATATCGTCAGGATATCCCATAGATATCGTCAGGATATCCCACAGATATTTTCAGGATATTCTCAGTATATCTTCTGGATATCAAGAAGATATTCTCAGGATACTGTTTTTAAAGTCATTATGAGACTACGAGTGAGAATATTCTGTGAATTAAATTTTATATAAATAAAATAAAATGCAACTTGTTTTTCGAGAAAGTTGTTTAATTTGAAAAATTATTAACTAATTTTTTTCTCATTCGTGATTCATTCCTTTATTCATATGCTTAATATGGTCGGAAAATAAATTGGCTTTAAACAATATAAATTCTTCCCCGCAAATAACGAATAACTATTAATATTAATTATACATTAAGTGCATGAGTTTATTTAAAAACTTTGAAAAATGCGTTTCAAATCTTCATTTAAAATAAATTAGAAGCTCATAAGATTTTTGTTTTTATTATATTATTATTCATTATATTAGCTTAACAATTTTAACCTTTAAAAATATATGTTGAGATATTAAATATCCCGTGAATATCCTAAGAATATCCCACGGACATCCTGAGGATATCCCATGGATATCCTGCGATATAATATCCAATAGATATTTTGTGGATGTCTTAGGGATATCCTGAGGATATCCCATGGATATCCTGCTATATAATATCCAATAGATATTTTGTGGATATCTTAGGGATATCCTGTGGATATCCTATGGATGTCTTGTTGATATCCCACAGACCAGCGGTTTGGATATCCTAGGGATATCCCAAGATATCCTGGGGACCATTCTAGGATATCGACCATTAATATGGATATCCTATGGATATCCTAGGGATATCCTTTTGTTATTAGGGTTACGTGTTTTTACTTGAAAATTTATTAGTTATTTAAATTTTAATATTATGACTTAAAAATTTAAGATTATATTATTCTTTAAGGAAAAAATTACCACAACAGCAGGACTTGCAAAAAAGGTATTTACGTTGCAGAATAAAAGGTGAATTTTTAGGTTAAACGTAGAAATTTATAATTTATTAATGTTTGAAGCTAATTTATTCTTTTGTATCGAATTAGTTGTATCAAAATACTTAGAAAATTACTTATAACTAAATATATTAAAATATAAAAAATATTTAAATTCAATTAATTTGAGCGAGAAAAAATTCTCGGGTCTACTGGACCCACGGTGCTAGTTAAAGGTTAATGTACAAAAGGGATTTTTTTAAAAAAACCCGTTTATATGGAAATAAATATATAATATAATAATAAAAATAGTTAATTTAATTAAAAATTAAATATAAACATTTTCTTTATAGTACACAAATAGAATTAAAAGTAGTTTTTTTTCTCTTCTTTATTTTTAAATGAGATAATTAGAAAACTAAAATTCGAAAATTCAAAAACCATTTACAGAATATATTTATCAGAGTCAAAAAGCCCTTGGGTCGAATTAGTATTTATAACGCGAATTCGCCATCAACGGAATGCGAGTGATTCAAGGGTTCAGCACAAGAATATTAACTATCTGCCGAGGATCTTGTGTTGGTTAAATTAGAATTCACGCTTCACGTGAACGGAAAAGAGTGAAAATTGTGCTCGATAATTATATATAATTAAAACAAAAGAATTGTAAAAAAAAAAATTATGTATGCATTAACCTTTTCACGCCAATGTATATATGTCCCACCTATAGAAATCTCAATAAAAACAAAAAAAAAATTAATGTTTTTTTTTCAATAAACTTTTAGAGCATTTTTTAAAATTTTAATTAGTTTATAGGTTCATAATTTGCCATATAAAAAACTAAATTTCGGAATTGATTAAAAATCATAGTTTGGACAAATTTACCAAAACGTACGATTTAACTGTCTTAGTAATTTTCTAAATTTTTTGATACAACTAATTCGATACAAAAGAATAAATTAGCTTCAAACATTAATAAATTATTTTTTACGTTTAACGAAACGTTGTCTTATAGAATATTAATAGTGCAGAAAAACATTTTGACAGAAATCTACTTTACCAGAATGTATATTTGTTCGAATATTAATTTCCCAGAAAGTTAATTTGACCGATAATTAATTTGGCAGAATTTCAATTTGATCGAATTTTAATTTATCAGAAAGTTAAATTCATCGAATTTTAATTTGGCAGAAAATCAAAATTGATCGAAATTTAATTTGTGCGAAAAGTTTTTTCATAGAATTTTAATTTAGTAGAAAGGTAATTTAATAGAATACTAATATAGCAGAATCAAAATTTGATAAAAATTAAGTTTACAAGAAAGTACATTTGTTCGAATATTAATTTGCCAGAAACTCAATTTCACCGAAAATCAATTTGACCGAAATATTTCAGCGCGAATTTTAAAATTTACCAATAGGAAATTATTAAGAAAATTGTGATTGGTTAATTTTAAAATTCGCGCCTAAATATTTCGGTCAAATTGAGTTTCTGTCAAATTAATATTCGAACAAATGTACTTTCTTGTAAACTAAATTTCTATCAAATTTTAATTCTGCTAAATTAGGATTCTATTAAATTACCTTTCTGCTAAATTAAAATTCTATGAGAAAACGTTTCGCACAAATTTTCGATCAAATTGATTTTCTGCCGAATTAAAATTCGATGAAATTGACTTTCTGGCAAATTAAAATTCGATCAAATTGGAATTCTGCCAAATTAATTTTCGGTCAATAATTAACTTTCTGGGAAATTAATATTCGAACAAATTTACATTCTGGAAAAGTAAAATTTCTGTAAAATTATTTTTCTGTACTATTAATATTCTATTAAACAACGTTTTGGGAAAATTTAAAAATCGGTCAAATTTAATTTCTGTCAAAATAAAATTTGATCAAATTGAATTTATGTCAAAAAAAAATTCGATCAAATTGATTTTCTGCAAAATTAAATTTCGATCAAATTGATTTTCTGCCAAATAAAAATTCGATGACATTGATTTTCTGGCAAATTAAAATTCGATCAAATTGGAATTCTGTCAAATTATTTTTCGGTCAAAAATTAACTTTCTGGGAAATTAATATTCGAACAAATTAACATTCTGGTAAAGTAAAATTTCTGTCAAATTTTCTTTTCTGTACTATTAATATTCTATAAAACAACGTTTAGGGAAAATTTAAAAAAATCGGTCAAATTTAATTTCTGCCAAAATAAAAATTTGATCAGATTGAATTTATGTCAAATTAAAATTGGATCAAATTGACCCTCATAACAAAAGGATATCCCTAGGATATCCATATCAATGGTCGATATCCTAGAATGATATCCAGAAGATATCCATGGGATATCCAAAGGATATCCAAACCGCCGATTTTTTGGATATCCTTAAGAGATCCTTTTGATATCCATAGGACATTCCTAGGATATCTGCGGGATATTATCAATATATCCGCAAGATATCTTGTGTTTTTAGGGGATTTTCTGCCAAATTAAAATTCGATTAAATTGACCTTCTGTCAAATTAATATTCTGCTGATTAAAATTCTGCTAACAAATTTTTTTTTTAGAGCTTATTCATGCGTCCCAAATACGTCGGGTCCAGCAGACCCGTTGTGCCATTTACGTTCAAATTGTTCCAGTTTTGGATTATTATTATTATTTTTGATATAGTCCTAGGCTGACAGTTAAAATTATTTGTGACAATAAAATTTTATTATTGTTAAAAATTCATCTATACTTTGTATACAAAATATTATTGTATAGTTAAGAAATTATGTTCATTGTTCATATGTACATGTTTATGTAGATAATATATTATGTGTTTTTTTTTTTTTTTTTTTTTTTTTTTTATTGAGTGTCTGCATGTGTGGGAGTAGAGGCTATTTATAATAATAAATGGTTACAGGTGTGTGTCGGAAACATTTAGTGTTTCGAATCAGTAAGCGACCTGAAAAGAAACGAAGCGAGTCGCTAGGCAAACAAGGTCAATGGACGGTGAATTTACATACGTGAATGAGATGCAACATCAGCTCACGACCTACAGCCTCATTTCCGTGTATGTTGGCCACGTATTTTACGTCGGGTTTTCCGACCATGTGTTCATAAGGCGACGCTGAAACAACCATCACCCAGAGATCGCGACCTGAAACAAAAATTCATTTTTTTTTTCTGTTCATCTTTTAATTTATTCAGAAAATGAATTATTATTCTGTAGAATTTTCATTTCATTAATTTTATATTTATCGAAAATTATTATCAATTCAGAAAATTTTTATTTGTACGAATTTTCATTTGTTATAGAATTGCTCGAATTTTCAATTTAATATTTGTACCTAAATATATAATAATTCTGCTAAATTTAAATTTGATGAAATAAAAATAAAAAATTTTTTTAATGAAAATTTGTTTAAGTTACAATTCCTAATAGAAAAAAAAATAATTTTAAATTATTTGAAATGACGTAATTACGTCAGAAACTAAAATGAAAGTAAAAAATTCAAATTAAATGGAAAAAAAATCAGGTTTCGTGACTAAGAATAATTTTTTAAAATAATTTTTAGAATTATATAATATTTATTATTATTATTATTATTATTATTATTATTATTATTATTATTACTATTACTATTATTATTATTTTTTTCTTTATTTGTTCAAATTGTCATTTGATGGAAAATTTAAAATGCCGAATTTTTATTTGACCGAAATTGCAAATATTCAACAGAAAAGTTTAAGCGTAAATTTTTGAAATTAATCAATAACAATTTTCTTGATTATTTCTAAATAGTTAATTTAAAAATTCCCGCCAAATCTTTTTTGTCCGATATTTTTTCGGCTAATTTGTAATAATTTCGGTCAAATGAAAATTTGATTATTTAATTTTACTTTATAAAATTCGTTAAAATAGAAATTCGAATTTATTAATTTCGAAATTTTTAATTTTTTCTATCAGTATTTCTGATTTTTGCTAAACACAAAAAAATAATAATCGAAAATTTAAAAAATAAATTTTAATTTTTGAAAATTAATTAATTATCTTTTATAGTTTGTATATAGTTTTCTAAATTTTATTTTTATATTAATAATAATTATAGCCTCGATTGAAATTTATATTGAGAGAGAGATAAAACGAAATATTTATATATGTAACAAATTGTCAAAAATCCAGTATACTGGCAAACAATTGACATTTCACTGATTTGGTACTTTAACAAGCAGTACTGATTGCGCAGAATACTGAATTAAACCATCCGTTATGAAACCTCTAGACAATCGCCTCATTTAGGCCTCAGAATGACGATTTTGAATTAGTTCCATGAGGTGACATATTAGGAGCATTAAGAGTGATATTTCAATTAAAAATTGAACAAGAATTTCTGTTTACAAGAATTTTTACATAAAAAAAATTTTTAGCTACCGAATTTGTGTTTAGCAGAATTTTTCATTTTATATATTCATTCAATTTACATGAATATTTTATTTCAGAGAATTTTGATTTAATTGAATTTTAATTTAACAAAATTCTCATTCAATCGAATTTTATTTGAATCGAATCTTTTTAAATGACAGAAATTCCAATTCTCCGAATTTCAAATTTTTCCGAATTTTTAAGACGCCGAATTTTCATTTGTCCGAAATTACAAATGGCCGAATGAACAATTGACAGAAAGATTTCGGTGCAATTTTCAAAAATTGACCAATCACGAATTTTCTTGCTAATTTCAAATTGGACAATTTTTCAAAAAATTGCGCCGAAATCTTTCTATCTATTGTTTATTCGGCCAATTTTGTAATTTCGGACAAATGAAAATTCGGCGTCTTAAAAATTATATCAATTAAAAATTCGGACAAATAAAAATTCGATGAATTCGGTAGCCAAAAATTTTGTTTTGTAAAAATTCATATAAATAGAAATTCTATCAAATGCGCTAATTCCAAAATGAACAATCGACAGAAAGATTTCGGCGCAATTTTTTGAAAAATTGTCCAATTAGAAATTAGCAAGAAAATTCGTGATTGGAAAATTTTTCAAAAATTGCGCCGAAATTTTTCTGTCGATTGTTTATTCGGTCATTTCTAATTTCGGACAAATGAAAATTTGGCGTCTAAAAAATTCGTACAAATAAAAATTCGGACAAATTAAAATTTGGTGAATTAGAATTTATGTCATTTACAAATTCGAATCACATAAAATTCATTTCAATGAGAATTCTGTTTAAAAAGAAATATTTTTTTGGTTCAAAAATTAAAATAATAATAATAATATCTATAATAATAATCATATAATAATAATAATAATAATAATAATAATAATAATAATATAATATTTATATAATATTATTTTGACATTGTAAATATTTTTGGTAATATTGCAAAAAAAAATATATATTTTTCTCCCACACAAAATACAGATCTCAGAAATATTATGGCTTAAAATTTTAAAATAGAGAATTTCTTATAGAAATGAAAAAAAAAATTCAAGTTGTCCTCCAGCAATGGTTTAAACAACAAGAACCGCAAAAACAAGTGGCGGGTTATATTTGATATCGAGGTGAGAGATTTCTCGTTACTCGTCCTCTCTTTCTCTCTCTATGACTATATCGGGAATTCCGGAATCCGAACTATCAGTGAGAATAGGCGAAAGCGAATCTCAGATATACACAGAGACACATACACACAGAAATGAGTATGTCTAAAAATAAATCTATTTTTTAAATGAAATCTACACAAATTTTTGTTATTTTCATATGATGTATAATAATAAAAATTAATTTTTCTTTGAATTTATATTATTATTATTATTATTATTATTATTATTATTATTATTATTATATGTCAATTTTCATTTGATAGAATTTTATTAGCTGGAATTGACTTTCAGCCTAATTTTTTATTTCACCGAATTATTATTATTACTTAACAGAAATTCAATTTAGAATTTCTATATTACAAAATTGTCACTGAAACGAATTTTAATCGTATTTTAAATTGTCCGAATTTTTTTTATTTATTTGAAATTTTAATTGAACGAATTTTTAAGACGCCGAATTTTCATTTGGCCGAAATTACAAATGACCGAAGAAACGATCGACAGAAAAGATTTTGGCGTAATTTTCAAAAATTGACCAATTATAGAAATTGCGTCAAGAAATTCGTGAATGGTTAAATTTTTAAAAATTGCGCCGAAATCTTTCCGTCGATTATTCATTCGGTCATTTGTAATTTCGTATAAATAAAAAATTCGGCGTTTTAAAAATTCTATTAATTAAAAATTCGTTTAAATAAAAATTAGGACAAATTTGAAATTCGGTGAATTGGTATTTCTGACATTTAAAAATTCGAATTATTATCATATTTCCTTGAATTTTCATTAAACAAAATATTTAAAAAATATAAAAAATCATTTTAAAAAAAGAAACTTATTTTACAGGAAGAATTATTTTCTACAGCCATATTTTCATTTTTTCAAATTTACATTTAACAGAATTGTTAAATTGACGTATTCTTATTTATATATAGAACTTTTATTTTTTCTAATAAAAATCTGGCAGAAAAATTTCGGCACTAATTTGAAAATTAACCAATCAGAATGATTAATTTCAAAATTCGCGCCAATACTTTTCTGTCTTTTTTGTTCGGTCAAATGAAAATTCGGTGATTTGATAATTCTCTCAAATTCGACAATTCGTAACAATGAAATTAAGTGAATATTTTTCTATAAACGAAAAATTAGATTTAAGGCCAGGTCCAAGTGAGGCAGCGCCATTTACATTGATACTAAAATTTTGGAAAATTTTCAACAGCCTTTTCTTGAAAACAAGATGGTAAAATGCTTTTTTCTTTATGGATAATTGATTATTGGCAAGATATACACCAGCTAAAACTTTTTTTGAGTTAAAATAATAAAAAAAATTTCATGTCAATAAATTAAATATGAGCACTTTTTTCACAAAAACTGTAACAGTACTTTCTCAGAAATTATAATCAAAAATGCAATTTCTATTTGGAAAATTAATAAACGCTAAAAAATACACGACCTAAGATTCACCAATCACGAAAATAAGAAAAAAAAATTTTATTAAATATTTAACATATTGATACTGCTTTACTGATTGTGACAGCCCTTTGGTAGATTATGTATTTCAGGTGGTTAGCAACAGCGCCAATCTCCTCCTTTCGGCAAAACTGCGAAACGTCTGGTGACATATATAACCTGCCAAACGGCTGTCATAATGAGTAAAATATGTTATGTTAAAATACTTTTTTTTTGTTATTTTCGTGATTGGTAAATCTTAGGTCGTGTATTTTTTAGCGTTTATTAATTTTCCAAATGGAAATTGCATTTTTGATTGTAATTTCTGAGAAAGTACTGTTACAGTTTTTGTGAAAAAAGTGCTCATATTTAATTTATTGACATGAAATTTTTTTTATTATTTTAACTCAAAAAAAGTTTTAGCTGGTGTATATCTTGCCAATAATCAATTATCCATAAAGGAAAAAGCATTTTACCTTCTTGTTTTCAAGAAAAGGCTGTTGAAAATTTTCCAAAATTTCAGTTTCAATGTAGATGGTGCTGACTCACTTGGACTTGGCTTTAAGAAAAATTATGCTAATTAAAAATTATGTATTTTGCAGAAGATGATATAAATTCTTTAAATAGAAATTATGTTAAATGAAAATTCGGTCAATTGGAAAATATTAAATCAAAATTTTCTTTTGATTTAAAAATAAAAATCTTTTTTGACTTAAAAAATAAAATTTGAGTTTCATACCTTTTACTGATTTTCCTATGGAGTAGAGGGCAGTGAGATTTTGAAAGCGATTCGAGGTAGTCTGAAGAAATCGTGTCAGTTGGTCATAATTGTGATATTTGAAATCAATTTTGTAAGGCTCATCATAAATTGAATATCGCGTGCTATAATGCCGTGCTAATTCATCATTTTCTGATTGCTCTTGTCCAATGGCAAGGCCATGGCTTCCCTCGATGACCAATGCAGTGAGAAAAAACAGCAATATCATTTCTGTAAAACTGGCATTGAAAAAAAAATTTTTTATTTACAGCTATATATAATTATTTTCATTATATTATGTATATACAGTATAATTAAATTCATTTTCTCTCATGAATCATTATAGAAAATATTATTTCTTATTTACACAATATATATTTTTAGATTAACAAATATATATTCAAATAGTTTTAATTCACTTTTTCAAAAAATTCAATTATTTAAATTGTTTTTTTTTAATTAATGTTTAAATTTTTGCAACAAAATGATAATTTTTGAAATTTCAAAAAATGCAATTTCTCAAAATTTTTTACTGCAGCTCCATCAAAATTCAATTATTTATTATTTCAATTGAAAATTCTCTAAAATTCAATTATTGTCTGAAATTTGTAACAAAAAAATTTCATTAATTCAAATTTATAAAAGTTTCAAATGATAATCTTCTGAATTTCAATTATTTCTAAAAATTTTAAATCAAACTCTTTCAAATTCAAATATTTTAAAAAATTTTTATTAAAAATCTTCTAAAATTAAATTATTTTAAAAATTTTATTTTTAAAATTAACTAAAATTCAATTATTTTGCAAAAATCATTTAAAATTCAATTATTTTGCAAAATTTCGATTGAAATTTAATTACTTTCTATATTATCAATTCACAAACAAATAAAATTCAATTATTTTAAAAAATTTCAATTCAAAATCAACTAAAATTCAATTATTTCCAAAAATTTCAATTAAATTTTATTTATTTTGAAAATTTTCAATTAAAATTCAATTATTTTCAAAATTTTCAATACAAAATCAACTAAAATTCAATTTATTATTTTCCAAAATTTTAGTTGAAATTCAATTATTTTCCAAAGTTTTAATTGAAATTCAATTATTTTCCAAAATTCAAAATTTGCAACCCTGAAATATAATAAATGATAACGGGACGCATGAATATAAGCTCTAAAACAATTTTTTTAGAAGTTACATTAGATAGAATTTTAATCAGCAGAATATTAATTTAATCGAATATTATTTTGCCATAAACTCAATTTCACCGAAATATTTTGGTGCCAATTTTAAAATTAACCAATCACAATTTTCTTGATAATTTCCTATTGGTAAATTTTAAAATTCGAGCCGAAATATTTCGGTCAAATTGATTTTCGGTCAAATTAACTTTTTGGGAAATTAATATTCGAAAAAATATATATTTTGGTTAAATTAAATTCGGTAAAATTTAACTTCTAGCAAATTAAAATTCGATTAAGTTGACTTTTTATGGCAAATTAATATTCTTCTAATTAAAATTCTATATGAAATATAACATCTAACAAATTTGTTTTAGAGCTTATTCATGCGCGTCCTAGGATAACAAATGATAAATAATAGACTAGAATAATAAATAATAGAAAATAATAAACAAATAAATTAAAAACAAAAAATTCTGATATAAAAAAAAAAATTATATAATATAATTAAAATGTTTTAAATCGATTTAAGGTAAAATCGTACGGTTTCGTGAATTTGGTTATATCCCGATTTTTATGAATTTGAAAATATTTGGTTGAGCACCTCTGACTTATTGAATGTGAGACCGTTAGGTCTTGGGACCGCTACATCAATTTAGCGCTTGATCTGATTCTATGATATCATCAATATAGTCTCTCAATTTGAATATCCAGACCTCTATCCGATCAGACACATATATGTATATACTGTATTAATAACAATACCAAGTAGTGGGAATAATTTCCAATTTTTGAAAAAAGCAAAAACAAGAATAATTTTTCTACACTGAAAAAAATTATTTATGATACAAGTAATTTAAATTATTATTTTTTAATATATTTACTATTTGTTTCAAATATTTTTTTATTTCGGATCTAAAAAAATATTTATTTGATTCAAATAAATCGAATTATTTGAATCAAATAGATCGTATTTGGTTTAAGTAAATAATTTACTGAATCTAATAAAAGATAATTTTGCTTTAAGTAAATAATTTACTGAATCTAATAAAAGATAATTTATTTAACACAAATAATAATCTATTTAAAACAATTCAATTCATTTATTTGATTTTTCGATACAAATAAAAATTATTTGACGTAATAAATTTATTTTATTGATTCTAGTATACACTAAATTATTTAAAAAACAAATAATGCATTATTTAATAATACCAATACATTATTTAATATAAAAGAAAATAAAAAATATTTCCATCAAATAAATATTTAATTGAAACAAAAATACAGTTACTTCAAACTATTCATTTATTTATTTCACTCAAATATTTGGTTTTTTGATAGAAAAATAAAAATTATTTGACGCAATAAATTTATTTTATTAAGAATTTATTTTATTTTTATTTTTAAATTTATTTTATTGATTTAAGTAAACTAAATTATTTAATACAAATAATACAGAATTTAATGCTAGTAAATTATTTTATAAAAATAAATAAATAAACAAAAACAAAAAAAAAAGTAGATTTATATAAATAAAGGGAAAATGTTATAAAAGCCAATTCCTGATTTATTTATAACGTCATAAAAAGAAACTGCAATACAGATCTTAAACAGTTTTATGTAACAAGTAAATAGACGTAATAATACTATTTCAAGAAAGAAGAAAATATCATCCATTCTTCTCGCGATGATCTCCTTTACATCACTGTTTTTTTTACCACATAAATTGTATATTTATATGTAAATTGAATGTATAGACAATAATTATCTGGTGTTATACAATGTAATGGGGAATTATGCATTTTTTTAATAGTTACATACTTTTCTCTTATAGACGAATGAAATTCAATAAATATAGGGAAAAAAAATAATTCGGCAAGATTCAAAACGGAAAAAAAAAATTTTAACTAAATTTCGCTAAATTTTTACAAAACTTTTTTGTAATCTTGAATAAATGCAAAAAAAAAATTCTAAGTTTAGATCACATGATTATCCCATAACAATCATTAATTAGAATTTTTTTTTCAAAGAATTTTATAAGAAATTATTTTTTAGACGAATTTTCATTTTTGGAATTAGCATTTGATAGAATTTCTATTTATATGAATTTTTATATAACAAAATTTTTAGCTACCGAATTCACCGAATTTTAATTTGTTCGAATTTTTATTTGTTCGAATTTTTATTTATACGAATTTTTAATTGATATAATTTTTAAGACACCGAATTTTCATTTGTCCGAAATTACAAAATTGTCCGAATAAACAATAGATAGAAAGATTTCGGCGCAATTTTTGAAAAATTGTCCAATTAGAAATTAGCAAGAAAATTCGTGATTGGTCAATTTTTGAAAATTGCGCCGAAATCTTTGATGTCGATTGTTTATTCGGTCATTTGTAATTTCGGACAAATGAAAATTCGGCGTCTTAAAAATTATATCAATTAAAAATTCGTATAAATAAAAATTCGGTGAATTGGAATTTCTGTCATTTAAAAAAATTCGATTCAAATAAAATTCTCGCGTGATTTACAAAACAGTTTTGTAAAGCATAAGAAATGAGAATAAATTTTTATTTCTTACTTTAATTCTATCTTCTAGAGTCGAAATTTCGATAATAAATATTCCGAAAAAAATTTTGTATTTATTATAAAATTATTTGCAATTTTCTAAAAAAAAAAAAAGTTTTATTAATGCCTGTATTTTTGTTAATAATTGAAATTTGTTAAAATTAATCGCAAACTTTTAAAATCGTACATAAATAAATAAAAAAAAAAATTTCAATGACATTTTTATAATTATTATGAAGTTGGGATCTGCAATATAATATAAAAGATGTATGTGAAGGTTGACACAAATTGAAATATATATCTGTCATTGAAAAGCAAGGGTACCCGGTTTTGTCCTGATCTCCCTCCCCCCTACTTTTTATTATAATAAATTATTTTTTTACAGGATATTTTGCTTTTTAATAATATTGCTAAGATTTGCATTACTTTAAAATTACCATTTTGACTTTAAAAAAAACTAATAAATAATAATCACCCATATTAAGGTCAAATTTTGAAATTCGATTCTCAACCCGAAAATTTCAAATTATTAAATTTTTTTTATCAAGGAGAGAATTTTACAAAATATAATTTTATATTATACCGAATTTTTATATCAAAGAAATTTTTATTTAACTGAATTATTATTTTAATATAAATAATTTTTATTTAACCGAATTTTTTACATCAAATTTGGATTTAAGATAATTTTTATTTTTAAAAAATTTATATTTATTGAAACAATTTGATAAAATTTAATAACAATTTTAACCCTTAACTGACACAATTCGAACGTAAATCACACAGTGGGTCTACTGGACCCGACGTATTTAAACTATTGTACCAGCCGGTATTGAATATTTTTGCACAAAAATTTAATTTGAGCTTAGCTTATGATGTGTTTTTTTTAAATTTTATTAGTTTTACCAGGGATTAATTTATTTCAAGATAGTTAAAAAAAATTGTGAAAAATAAAAACCAAAAAAAATTACGTGTTTTTACTTGAAAATTCATGAGTTATTTAAATTTTAATATTATGACTTAAAAAATTAAGATTATATTATTCTTTAAGGAAAAAATTACCACAACAGCAGGATTTGCAAAAATGGTATTTATTTTGCAGAATAAAATGTGAATTTTTAGGTTAAACGTAAAAATTTATAATTTATTAATGTTTGAAGCTAATTTATTCTTTCTGTATCGAATTAGTTGTATCAAAAAAAAAAACTGAGAAAATTATAAAAAATAATTAATATTTATAAATTTCGACCGCCATATTGGATCCGCCATTTTGAATTTTCAAAATATGACATCATATTCGTTATCAGCGACCCCAAAAACCTTAAAGTAACAAGTTTCAAGTAAATTCGATGAACTTTTATAAATTTCGACCGCCATATTGGATCCGCCATTTTGAATTTTGAAAATCTGACATCATATTCGTAATCAGCGACCCAAAAAACCCCTAAGTAACAACTTTCAAATGAATTGATGAATTTTTATAAATTT